TCTTTTCATCTGACACCAAACTAACAGTTTTTCGCAACAGGCCTTTGCCGCCATCTGGTAGTGCCGCAACTAGAGAGGACAAGGCGATGATGTTGACTCCGACCAAATCAGATTGGGACTCTGAAATCCGGAGAAACACCGTATAAAGCGTCGGCTAAAGGCCTTAATTAATCAAAGCTTGGAAAATAAGTAAGAGGTGCTTGAGATACGCCAGATAAGCCATTGGCGTAAGAACGGTGAAGGTCCTAAGAATATCGAAAACAAATATTTACAGGACTCTGCACGGAATCACTGTTTGTCTGGGAAACTGCATTTTACGCCTTACGGGCAATTCTTGATAGAGTATAGTAACAGCAGTCAATCCGTCAGTGCAGAAAATGCAGCAGCCCTGTGTTTGCCTAAGGGCAATCTTTATTACTATATGATTTTACGAAGAGTCAAGCAAAATGTGAGACCGAAACCTTAAACCTATAAGAAGCCAATACACAAAAGAGAAACGCAGCCAGGTGGAAGCGCCTAGGTAATGTGAGGACCTTACCTGTAGTCTTCTGTAGCACCAACGGATCTGCAAAATTGGCCAACTTGGGTGATTGTTTGCAGCTGCATTTGCTTCCATAAGTCATGTTGAGTGAGTGAGGGAGAAGCAAAATTCCATGATATGAATCGGATTCCAGGCTGTCTAGTTGCGGAATGCCTAAAATACTTTCTTGTGGAAAACTTGAAATTAACTCACCTAGGGAACGCGAGAAGTCAGAATCCGGAAAAATGAAAAGAGCGGCGTTCGAATTGCACGGCATACGGATTACGCAAGCCTAAAATAAGCGAAAGAGCCTAGGTAACAAGAAGCCCTTGTCAAGCACCAGATTTATTTGTATGGGCCAAGTGCTACTAATGCAAAGCAAGTGGCACTGGAAAGACTAGCGGCCAGGATAGAAAGCTAGAACAGAAAAGCGTGAAATAAAGACGCCTGAGCGGCCTACAACAGTTTATAGGAAGGAAAATTGACAGAAAGAGGCGGAGGCACGGGGAGGCTGTAACTGCCGAAACACCCACATATAGTGACACACGGATAAACCTTTGTCAATGGTTCCAAAGACCAACTAGTTAGAACAAAACTGCAGACAACTTGTGCTGTGTGTGAATGCACGTTTACGTTTCTCGGGGGCATGACCGGCCGAATGCAGCATGAATAACCGAAAAAAATGCTGTCTCAGTCTCCCCGTGAGTTTTTGCTTCAGTTTGCTCTTCTTTACATGATCGCTTTGAGACCTGGCATTTTGCCATCTATGCATGAAATCGACCAACTTACGTGGAAGTGGTCACACCTAGGGAACCAAAAACACGAGAAAGTCTGTTCCTAAGACGAAAAAGTATAACATGCAAAAGCACGCCTCAATACAGCTGAACCGTCGGAAAAGCTGTAGAGCAGTCTAATGCAAAATGGAGCAGGTCTGTAACTGAATTTAATCCTACAACAAGTACTTTGTCACCGTAGAAACATGTGATCGGTTGTAAAGCACCCCAAACAGGATGCGAACAATACGCCTCGTAATCTTCAAATATTAAAAGCTAAGGCTAACGGTACAAAAGACCCAGTAGTCAGGTTTGCGAAGTTTAGAATTCCAGGGTGGTGATCTGAGAAACCGAAGTTGCTCACCGAACTGATTTTGACTCTTGCTAACGTTTCGACGAGCTTGGTCGGCTCTCCATTCTCCAAATGTTAAAGGCCAAACACTGATTAAAATTCTGAATGACTGAAATAACTATACGGCCTTGGAATTATCGAATTTTTTTCCGTTGCGTCCGCCTTTTGGAGGATTGTTGTGGGCTTTGACGATGGGGGATGCTCAGAAGTCTGTCCTTCCTTCGGGTTGGTTCGTAGTGGGGCGGTGTTTGCTCGGATTTCTTAAGTTTGGTAAGCCCCTG